CCTGAGCATTCCATAGGCAAGAGTAGACCTAAGAGTTGTGGGCCCAAAATGTGTGATATTTCTTCGATGGAGACTCTCTTCTGTCAATGCAATGCCCACAACTACTTCATTATTATGGATATTCAAAAGAACCTATAACAAAATTAAACAGGACAATAAAATCATTTTAGCAGTGCCCAAATGTCACTTACAAGATCTTTTTGAAATTTAATATTCTCTCAGCTTTTGAAAACTGAAGTTATACTTTGCAAAGAGCAAAAATCTTGGATTTATACATATCAACGGGCTTTTCTTTATATATACACCAATTAAAATAAACGAATATTTCCAGTGCCCATTAACGGTTCTGTCTGGCATCTCTTAATACCTTCCCTCCCTAGCTTACACCACCAAGTGATTGCTAGTGACACAAACTAGTACAGCCATTTTTAAAATTCATGTACATGAACTCATATACTCATAGTACTTTCTTATTTAATGGTCCATGTATTTATTATTTATTATTCATTTGCTGATTTTATTCTTTTCTTTCATTATAAGTTGGCTATTCTCTGATCTCTAAAATACAAACAATTTGAAGATGAACTCAAGCAGAATGGCTCTTTTTGAGATATTGTGGTTATAGTTACCTAGTTAACCTGTTTATTCATTTTCCTAGCAGCTCTAAAAGTAGCTCTGGTGACCTAGTGGTAAGCAGTTATGCTGCTATCCCAAAAACATGTTGTCTGAGTCCACTAGCTGCTTCAGGAAGTAAGTTAAGTAGTCTCCTCTTGTGCAATTTTCAAATTGCTTTTGAAAACTCACTGGAGGGTCATCTTTGAGTCAGTTTCAACTCAATGGTACAGAAAAACAAGCAGCTACATCTAAAAGAATGAGAATGCATACAAATAACTGACTTGCTCCTAAGTCAAGAGCCCCAACAACATCAGAAAAATAGTATCATGATAAAAAAAGTCATTTGCTAGGGCCCTTTTTAAGATGTCAGAGATATAAAGATTTTACAGCGTATTCTACCCACATGAGAATCACCTATACAGGAGAATATTGAGACCAAGGAGAACAAATATGTTAAATACTAAAAGCTAGGCCCTGGGTTTAGAACTCTTGTAGCACCCTTTTAATAGTACCAAAACTCAAGAGACAATATAAGACTGCACCCTGTCAAAAGGGGAAAAGTTTGAGAGGTGGGACAAGGCAGTGCCACTGGGTTTAAGCTCTCCTAAGTCTCCCTTTACCAAGTATTATGCCAAATGTACTACCCATTTAACTTTCAGGACAAGCTTAAAAGGTACAGCAGTCCTCCTTAAATATGGGAACTGTTTTTTTCTGAAAAAGATAAATGCATACCATTTGCCTGATGCCTCCAAAATCAGCATATCTACAGTACACTTGCTCTTAATCTACTATTATGCCTAACTGTCAAATACATAAGCACTTGACTGCTGAGCTTTCTCCATGGGAAGATGTTGCAACCTGCTTTGGGGAAAATTTCAATCTTGGAAACTCTATAGGCAGTTCTATGTCCTGTAGGGATGCTATGAGTCAGAACTGTTTTGATTTTAACTCGTTTTATAACAACTTTCTTAAATTTTAGTGGTCTGTACCTACCTCTACATCAAAGTTTGTCATGTCAGCTTTCCACTTAAAATATTCTTGAACAGCACCCCCAAAACCTCTGGCAGCTTCATTTGAAGTAAAGCAATGATTGTCCCCTGCCCTATTGCACGTGACTCTAAACTTGAGCACCTGTGGGGCACTTTCTTCTTTTGAGTTTTCATCAGTCTCATCTTCCTGTGAAGAGGCCAAATGATCACCTACTAATGTTGCAATCTCCTCTTTAATGGCTGGATTTTCATAATAGTCTAATATATGTGACTCCAAGGCATTACTCGCAACCTTCTGAACATATCTCTCCTCTATTTTTTCTCCCGGTCCATTATTAAATTTTTCTTTGTTTGCATTTTGATTTATTTTTTTGCGCTTTGCTTTTTTCTTCTTGAAATTGATGTTAGTTTTCCAAACTTTCAATGGGCTTGACCATGGAAGCTTCGCAGCCAATTCTTCAAAATCCTTGAGAACTTCTTCCTACAAAGGACAGAGAATGAAATCCATTTATTTCTCATCAGTTTAACAGAACAATGAAACTCCTAGACTGCTACAGACTACATTAATCATTATTTTGAAGGTGGTGGGAATGCAGAAGAACCCATTAAAAAATGCTTGTGCTAAAGAAAATAAAAATCTGATATTAGATGCTTACAAAGTAAGCCACTTAAGAACACTGCAAGCTAAAATGGTAGATCAGAAGATGGATTATCAAGATCCAAACTGAAGCAGTAAGAAACTATTTTAAGTGGTTATCTCCAGAGAGGAGAGGTAGACAGATCAAAGACAGGGAAGGATCTATATCTACTTCTCACTCAACTGAATTTCTTTTGCTTTTTAAGATTTTATACCAAGTACACAAATTAATTAAAAAAATTCTTCAAAAATATTTAATGAGGTAACATCTGGATCAGATTTCTAAATGACAATCTTGTTAAACATGAAATCTTACGGAGCTCTGTTGGCCTAGTGGCAAGAATTTGCACTGCAATTCCGAAGGTGCGTGGTTTGAATCCACCAGATGCTCTGCTGAAGAAGGAGGGGCAATCTCCTCCTGTGCTGGCTGAATCCTATGCAATGGTACATAACAACAAACAGAAATCTTGTCTTATGTCTCCTTTGCTTTAAAAAATCTAAAACCCCTCTAGTAATCCATCAGTATATACAGAAATTCTGAATTCCTAAAAAAGTTCGACACAATCAGACCCCTGCCTATTTCTCATCACCTCAAAGATTTTTTTCTCCCTTATTTCCAATCTGTTTGGAAATATACTTGTTTCACTCATTTCTGTACACTATTAGTTCTTTATCATTTAACACAGTTTAAAGGCATGTCTTGATAACCTAATCTATTTAAAGACATCCTCCCAATTCACCTTTGTGCCTCTTTCTTTAGCATTATCTGAAGCTAAGAAGTCTTTTGTTGTGGTATACCACTGCATTAGCACTGACCTACAGCTGACCCTCCAGCTGGTTTTCAGTTAATCATAGGGGAGGAAACTGTCCATCTTTCTCCCATGGAGGAGCTGGTGAATCCAAACCACATATGTTTGAGTTGGTAGTGCAACTCCTTACCACTAAACCACCAGCGCTTCCTAGGAAGTCCTTGGGCAACACAAATAGTTACATGCACAACTACTGATGAAATGCTGGTGGATCAAAAAGACTCATGGGAACCCTGGAAGAAAACTCAGGTGGTCTGTTTTCTGGAGGTTCACAACCTTGAACATGGTGTGTAGACATCCGGGGTCGAGTACACATGGAGGAACCAAACTTAGAATCAACCAGACTGCAAGTGGTTGATTTTGTTTGTTCCATTATTGAAATTTAGTAGATTTATGTATTAATATGTTTGTCATCAAATCTCCTCCCAAGCTCTGGTGGCCCAGTGGTAAGGAGCTGCAACTACAATCCCAGAGGCACACGGTTCGAAGCCACCAGATGCTCTGCCGGGGAAGGAGGGACAATCTCCTCCTGTACCAGTCAGATCTGATTTGACGGTACACTCACACAAAAATAATAAAATAAAAAAAAAATAAAAAAAAAAAACCAGATCAATAGGCTTATTTAAAAAAAAAAACAAAAACAAAAACTCCTCCCAAAGAAAAGTGTGTTGATCACTGCTACAGGCGAGCCAGGGAGAAAAGTACCAGCTCACTGAACAACTACTTAGTGATGCGACTAAATGTAATAACAGGTGATTTAGGAACCAGTAGGCACACGGAGAGGTCCAGTGGCTGAGTGGCAAGAAATTGTGCTGCAATCTCAAAGGCACACAGTTCAAATCCACCAGCTACTCTGCAGGAGGAGGATGAGCAATCTCCTCCCATATAATTAACTGCCTCTGAAAACCTGCTATTTTCAGGGAGGGTGAGCTGTGGGTTGGTTCCGCCTCGACGGTACACAACAGGCATATACATCCCTTTCCAACCTCTTTCCATGCTTGCTGCATCATTCAAGTATTTGCCCATAGAATCCTTCAGTATTGCAACTCAATCCTTACATCTGTTCTCCAGTTCCTTCAGTTTGAGAACTGAGCCTGTTCTTCTTTTTAAGTTTTCTAACTCCAACTCCTTGTACACTTCACTATAATACAATGCTCTGTTTCCCCAAGTTACCCTTTGAAATCTTTACTTCAGCAATTCTTCTCTTTTGGCCTACTTTCTAGTGCAAATTTCAGTCTCTTTTGACATCTATTTTGATATTTTATCTCTCCTGTCTTTTTTCATGGATGATATCCCTGATGGCATCCCCAAACTCCTATAGTCTAAAGTCATTAGCTAGAAAGTTAAAACAAGTTCAAGAGAACCAAAATACAACTTTGAGTGTATCCCAACCGAATTTAAAAACCATCTCAAAAATAGATATGATGCACTGGGTGATTTAAAAACCCAATGCATTAAATGCATCCAATCAATTCATCAATGCATCAAAACTATTCTTGAGATGGTTTTTAAATCCAGTTGGGATATACTTAAGGTTGTATTTTGGTACTCTTGAACTTATTTTAACTTTCTTCAGCTTCAATATGAACTTTCATGTGACTAACTGATGGTTTTAGTCAGCCCCTGGCCTTGTTTTGACTGCTAAGACAGAACTTCTTCTCCACTGATTCTCTCTATAGATAACAGTCAGTCTGATGCCTGTATAGTCCATTAGGTGAAGTCCACATTTATTAGGTACCTCTGAGTTGACTTCAATTCATAATGACTCTATGAACCACAGATCTGAACTGTACCCTATCATTTTCCATCCTTACCATGTTATGCTCAAGCCCACTATTACAGTCATTGTGTCAATGTCGACTCTATCTTGAGTCTTCCTCTCTTTTATCTGAGTCTTAACTTTTCTTTTTCCAAGGACTAGCCTCTCCTGAAAACATACCCAAAATATGTGAGATCAAGTTTCACCAATCTTTGTGCCTCAAGGATTATACTGGTTTCACTTCCTCCAAGACATTTTTATTCTTTTGGCATCCATGGAATAGTTAGTATTCTTCTCCAACACCACAAGGCAAAGGCATCAATATCTCTTTTGTCACTTATTCACTATACAACTCTGACACAGAAGAAGCAATTGGAAAAATCATGGCTTGGATCATGTGCACCTGTCTTTAACTTTAACAAAGTGTCAGCACTTTGGATAGGTCCTTGACAACCGATTTTCCCAAGGCAATCCGTCTTTTGATTTCTTGACGGCTATCACCATGGATGTTGATTGTGAATCCATGTAAAATGAAGTCATTGGCAATATCAATCTTTCCCCAACTAGCTTGTTTTCAACTATAGTTAACCTTTTGCTTTTTCAAAAAAAAAAGGTATTTAGAATGACTAAATCATTCATCCAATGTACAAAATTCTATCATACTATCTCCAGACTTATTTGTCATCGAGTCCATATTTTCAAACTACCAACCCTCCTTCCTTGTTTCCAACTTTGCATTCCAGTCACCAATTTTTATTCATTAACTTGGCAGCATGTTCAAAACTGCAAAAGTTGGCAGAAATCTTTAGTTTCTTCATGTTTGGGCTTTAATGGCTGGTGCATATATCTGAATAGTTGTATTAACATAAATTCCTTCTATATGTATGGATAGTACCCTATCATTCATAGCACTGTACTTCAAGATAGAGCGGAAATATTTTTTATGACAATGAATGCAACATCAGTTTGTCATTCCTAGCAGAAATGTCTTAGATGTCAATCTTTAGCTATCCCATTTAATTTTTTACAATTTCCAGGTTTCTTACATTCATACTTCATACTTTCCATGTTCTAATAATTATTAATGGATATGTACATCAGTTTCCCCTAGTTTTTAAAATTCCTTTCAATCTAAGGGACTCTACTTCCTGTACTATACCCATGAATGTTTATCTGTCATTTCTAAGGTTTTTAAAGCCTATTATTTCAGAAGTAGATAGCCATGTCTACTTCTTAGTCTGTCTTAATCTAGAAGCTCTGCTGAAAACTGTCCACTTTGGGTGATCATGCTGGTATTTGAAATATCAGTGGCATGGCTTCCAGCAACACACCAATATGCAAATCACCACAGTACAGCAAACTGACAGAAAAAATTGTACCCACGAGAGCAAACTATAAAACAAATAAACACACAAGTTATCATAAAAACAAACATGCAAAGTGGAACAGAAAACAAATGTCTTGCTGAGGAGAGTGTACCTGCCAGCCAAGAAGACTGGAGCTGGGGTACTGAATAATGTCAGCTCCTCTGAGCAGTGACTGAGACCCAAGATGTGAGCCAGGTCATGGATAGCATCTGTTCTGGTCTAAGGTATACAGACTATGCGCAATGAGGTGGTGCACCCAGCCTAGCGTAGAGTTCCTGCTGGCCTCAGGTGGTCACAAAGGAGATTCAAGCTGTACTGAAGGCAGTGACAAAATGCCACCCAGAATATGATACCAATGTACATGTTTCAACAAATAGATGTGAGGCCTGGACATGCCCACTAGTCTATGACAAAGTATCTGGAAGAAAGCTATCTGGTCAATGGATTGGAAACCATATTCCTTTCCACTCCAAAAATAAGTGATCCAACAAAATGAGAAAACTACAGAACAATATAATTAATATCACATGTAAACAAAATCTTGAAGATTTTTTAAAAAGTATGGGAAGCACATCAATTGGGAACTTGTCATAAAGCTGGATTCAGAGGCTATGGATATCACTGCTTATTTCAAATAGATCTTAGCTGAAAGCAGAGAATACCTGAAAGATGTTTACTTGTATTTTATTGACTAAAGCCATTTAACTGTGTGGATCATAACAAAATAACACTTTAATCCCAGAACACTTAATTGTAGTCATATGAAACCCATAGCTAGACTGAGAAGCAGCTGTCCAAACAGAACAAGGGAACACTGCAGGAAAGGTGTGTGTGTCAGGGCTTTATCCTTTCTCTATATCTATTCAATATGTATGCTAAGCAAATAATTTGAGAAGCTAGACTTTATGAATAATGTGGCATCAGAATGGGAGGAAGACTCAACAACATGTTATACAGATGATATAACCTTACTTGCTGAAAATGGAGAGGACTTAAAAGCACGTGCTATAGAAAGTCAAAAAGACTACAGCCTTTAAATATGAATTATATCTCAACATCAAGAAAACAAAAATTCTCACCATTGGACCATTAGGCAAAATCACCACACATGGAGAAAAGGTTGAGGTTGTCAACAATTTCAACAATCAACACCCATGATAATAGTAGTAAAAAATCAACAGATTTGTTGCTGTCAAGCACTTACTTCTCCAAAGTGCTAAAGAGTAATTATATCACTTTAAAAACTATGGTATGACTAAAATCAAGTCAGGCTACTTTCAGTTACTTGCTATATACATGAAATTAGAACAATAAAAAAAAAAAAAGACAAAAGAATCAATGCCCTTGCATTTTGTTGTTAGAAACAAGTATGGAATATCCATTGGAAAAGAAGAAACTAGTCTATCTTTGAGGAACTGTAAACTAAGAGATCCTTAGAGGTCAAACTCTGTCTCACATATTTTGAGCACATCTTAGGAAAAAGACAAAATACTGAGAAAGGTAGAGGGTCAGAGAAAGAAAGGAAAACCCTCAGCAAGGAATACACAGTGACCACCACAGCAGGCTTAAGCATATCAGAGATGGTGAGGACAGAGTGCTTGGAAAAGACCAGGGCTTGGAGTAAGTACACCCTAGACTTTAAAGTGGTATCACTGCTCATTAGTACTTTGGAGAAGTCTTTGACACCAGATTTTCCTAATGCAACACATCTTTTGATTTCTATGGAAGATAATCTGGTATTTCCTCAAAGAGTTAAAAATAGAAACCCCATTTTAATAAAGCTAGCCTAGTGATATGGAGCTGCACTGCCAACCCAAAAGAAGCAGTTCAAAACCACCAGCTGCTCCAAGGGAGAAAGTTGGGCACTCTCCTTCTGTGTGACCTACTGCCTCTGAAACCCCACTGGAGGCTCAGCTCAGACAGTGGAGTCTGTTCCACCTTAACAGTATACAATAGCTTTCCATTACTGGAAATATATCCTAAGGAAATCTGAGCTGAGATATGAATAGATGTGTGTATACCTATGTTTACTGTAGCATGATTCATAATAGCAAGAAGATGGAAGCAGCCCAAGTGTCCATCAACAAACGAAAGGAATTGTGGTGCATTCGAACAACGGAATACTATGCAGCATTAAAAAATGAAGAACTTCAAGTTACTCATGACATCAGTGAGTCTAGAGGCCATTATGCTGAAGTAATAGTCATGAAAGGACAAACACTTTATAAGACCACTATTATAAATAGAGGAAGGTTTGGGGTAAAGGGAGTGAGAACAGGGATAGAATACAGACAAGGAACCCTACAGTGGATTAGAGGAAAGGAAGATCAACTTGAAATGGTCAATCAGCAGATATATGGATAGCACAGTTAACAATATGATACAGGACAGGCAAAATTGGTTACATGGGGAGGGGTAAGGAGAACTGGGGGAATGTTTAGAGTAATAAACTCTTTACAAGGTGAAGGAAGTATTTATATCACAAAAAGAAACTTAAGTCAACAGAATGAAAAGGAGAACCAAAGTTTTAAAAGAAGGCTTTAGGGAAATAGGCTGCAATAAAAGTTTACAAATTCTTAAGGCCAGACTCAGATATTTCTCATAAAAATTTAAAAAATCTGCCTTAACACTTGCTGTTCTCTTCTGGGACTTCTACCAGGAATCTCTTTGCAGTTATTTACAAGGCAACTCTGAAAAGCTGACTTATACAGAGAGCTCTGCTGGCATAGTGGATAAGGGGTTACACTCCCAATCCAAAGATAGGTGGTCTGAATCCACTAGCTTTCCATAAGAAAAGACAGGCAATCTCCTTTCATGTGCTTTACAGACTCTAAAAACCCATGTGGGGCTAGGCTATCAGTTTTGACTTGATGGAATATAACAACTTAGTAATCAAATTTACATCTAATTAGAGATAGAAAATGCCCAAAAGAATACAAACTCTTAGGGGAGCTCTGGTGGCCTAGTGGCAAGGAGCTGCAACTACAATCCCAGAGGTGCACGGTTCGAATCCACCAGATGCTCTGCTGGGGAAGGGGGGTCAATCTCCTCCTGTACCAGTCAGATCTGATTTGACAGTACACTCATACAAAAATAATAAAATTTAAAAAAAAGAATACAAACTCTTAACACAGTAAATATATAATTTATTCTTCTTAAAAATGCCTATCAGTACTCATTTATAGACTTGGCTATTTTTAAACTTCAAAATAATTATCAGCAGAAAGTTATTAACAGTCTACGCATTATTTATTTCATAAGTAAGATTCAGTTGACAGTGACTACCAGAAAAGTCTGAAGAATGATTAGCCAAATGTTGAAAGGCAGACTTGCGGCTTTGTTCACAATAGCAAGGATTTGGAAACAACCTAAAGTGCCCATCAACAAACAATGGCTAGAGAAGCTGTGGTATATTCGCACAATGGAATACTATGCTGCATTGAAAAACAAGGAACTCATGCAATATTATTCAAAATGGTTGACTCTGGAGAACATTATGCTGAGTGAAATATCCCAGTCACAAAAGGACAAATATTACATGATGCCATTGTTGTAGAATGGGACTAACCTTGGGGTTGGGGAGAGACTGAGTAAGATGGGTTCAATAATGTATACTGCACTGAAACAGAGGAGGGAGAAAACTGTTTAAAAGAGATATGTGAGTAGGTATTTCTGTCATCACAGGAGTCTAGAGCGATGGCTACATGGTGGAGGGGACCTGGGGGAGGGTTTGTAAAACAATGAAAGAATCTTTTCTTTTACTTTTCCATAATTTTTTACTCATGTACTTATAACTTGTTAAATTTGTGTCTTCTAGGTTGCAACACCCCCATGATACATCTTCAAGGATATGAACATGTACGGTTAAGCACAATTAATAACAGTGCATCTAAATTCCAAAATCAATCTCCATAATAGTCTATGTGTTTCCTACTGCCAAAGGGGCCCTTTAGAGTAGTGAGAGAAGATCTTCACCCTGAAACCCACAGCGTCCCTTTTCAGCAGGAAGTAGCTAAGAGAATACACCATCCCCTTTTCCTTATGAATCAGGGTGAAGTCTCTCTCAGGGAGGAGTGATAGGGAATGGCAAAGGACACACTGACAAAGGAGATTAATCAGAACTGGCTTTGACAAGCACTGTGGCAATTGGACAATTAAAACAGACATTCGGATGGCGGGGAAGAAGAACAAACTTGGGAGGAGGGTAGAGAGAATGGTGCAGCAATGAAAACCCAAAAACCCTGTAAATGTTCATTAAAATTAATAAAATTTAATAATAATAAAAAAAAATTCTTAACTACTTTCAGTCTAAGTTCTTTAAGGTTTGATTTTCTTTTTTCAGGCTGTAAGTGCATATCAATTTGTCTGACTAGTTCATGATTAATATGTTGGAAACTAACTAGTTGTTCGTAAAAAAAAATTAGAAAACTAGGTAACGTATTAATGGATTAGCAGTGCAACTCCCTATGGACTAGGCCATCAGAAGAGCTCCTTTTTCTCAGGCAGATTTTACAATTGATAGAAAAAGTTCTTTATGAATTTGACTCTAACAACTTGACCTAAAAGAAAAACACAGAAAAATACTGAAATCTTACTGTTCTTTTTAACCTTCTGCTGAGGAAGCTACTAAATAGTTGGAAATCAAAAGCTAAATGCAAGCTTGAGACAAAGCTGTTTTCCTAACAGTGGAAAGAGTATTTAGATGTCACTTTGGCTTAGTCTCAAAAAATTAAATTAGTAAAGAAAGCAGCAAAAGCTGAATGCTAAGATAAAGTGTTATTTGCAGATTACATAAACTATCACTTGCTCTTTGGTTTGCAGTCTGGAAATGGTTCTATTTTGGAAGTAGCAAGTTAAGGCCAACAATTTCTTTCATTTCTTATATACTTTGACATTTACCAATGCTCATTTCCAAGAACAACTTCTTGAATAAACTCAACAAATCTCTTCAGATTTTACTGACTATACCTACCATAAAAAAGCGAACAGTAGTATTGATGATGGAATTTTAAAACTACAAATAAATCTCTTTGGTGATTCACCAATCATGTCTGGGAAGGCTCACCTTTGTTTCTTTGAACTGATAATCTTTAAACTCCTGAACAACCACAAATAAATTGTCGACTGATCTCAAACAATGAACCTAGGAGGAAAAAAATAGTTAGAAACTAATTTCTGAGAAAGCTTTTGAACATACAAATAAAGTACAATGGTTTTGAAGTAAAAATCTATTATTCCCATATAAAATTGCAACATGTGCCACTCGCCCATTTGCTTTTACATGTCCTAGCACACAGAGATCAGCAACATAAAGTATTATGTGGGGAGCAGGGATGCTTGTGGGATATATGGAAGATAGACACAATCAAGTGGAACTTTCTTGTGTTTCCTTCATGGTTCTCTGGGGTATAACGTGCACTGTTATGGTTAAGACCATGGGGCTGACCCCAATTCTATGATGACTGGCTGAGTGACAGAATTACTGAGAACAGTAACAATGCTAGTGCCTCCCTCCCTCCAAAAAGCTGCTGAAAATATTAACTAAAACAATGTATGGAAAATATCTCAATTCAAACCAAAATTTACCAGGAAGGCACACTATAGAGTAGACAGTAAAATTTGAGGGTGTGATAGCAAAAACAAAAATTCTTTTCTCATGCTGCTTATATGGTAAAAATCTCCCTCAGCTCTCAGTACAGTAGGGGTTCACATTACAACAGAACAGCAGCTTACTGACTCTGTGATGCCTAATTACTTTTGTGCAAAAAATGTCTTTATTACCTAACTTGGGAGGGACTAGAGAGCATTATGCTCAGTGAACTCAGTCCTGCAAGGATAAATATTGTGGAAGACCGTTATTATAGAATGAGTATAATTATCCAGGGGGGTGGGAGAGGCTGGAAGCAGGGGGATGTGGATGTACAAGAGGAAGAAAGAATTAATCATTAGGTTGTACAATTTGTTGGGTAGCGGGGGATGAGGGAAATTGAAATAATTTGTTTGAATTTGTGTTAGAATTTTGTAAACTAATGGGGGAAAAAGATTGTTGAATGAAGATCACAGGCATAAAGAGAATAAGACTATTGTTGACAGATTTTTTAAAAAAATTCTTATTTTAATCATAAAGTTCTTTGTGAAAAAAAAGTCTTTGATACTGATTTAAAAACAACAAAACCCCTCTTATTCTGTGCATCATCATCATCAATTATAGCAGATACTAGGAATTTTTCATAAGTCACATAAAAACCTTTCTAACTAATCCATTCTCAGGAAATAACATTACTTCCAAGAATAAAGCAAGCCTACTAGCCAAACTTACTAATCGACACCTAAAAGAAAAGTAGTATTTGAAAATCACTCAATTTAGTGCAAAGCAAAAGGCATTCTAAAGGGATAAGTCAACAGAAAGCAACTGCAAATTGGACAATTTAAAAAACGACTCAAAATCTATTGCGTGCAAACCTTAGCAAGACTTTCCAAAGTAACGTCAAAATATATCTTCCCCCGGTCCTTGCTGATTTTGCATGATGACCCAAGTTTCTCTCTCACTTCATCCGCAGCTGTTTGCTCAAAGCCAGTAGGAACGGTGGCTCCAATAATGACTTGGAGGTTGTCAGACTCACTTCTGTAGCCACTCTCTGTCATCTGTACAAATCTCTGGTTCTCAAGCAGGTTTACATCCAAGAGTTGGTCTGTGGCTTCTTGAATGCCAGACACGCTGGAGTTTTCCTATGATCCCTAATACAGTCCCTTGAAAAGCAGTACAGGAAACAAATGAAAATCCAAATGTTACCATCTATTACCCGCAACGACAGTACATGTGCTTTGGTATACTGTAAAAGCCAGTACACCTCAAGTTAATGCTACCAAAAATTCAATAAAGGTAACATGTTTGAATGAACATGGGCACAAACAGCAGGTTGCAAAACATAATGTTATTTATATTAAGCAAGAATACCAATACTTTGGAAGACTGAAGGACAAATAAAAATGCATCTACGACATGGATGTCTGATGTGGGGTCATATACACAGCTCACTAACAAACTCACAACTCCAACAGGTAATCCAAATACAGAGGCTGCTAGAGAACACTCAAATACGTTTCCACAACTAGTCCTTTTACTGACCAGTTAAGAATACAAGGCTTTGAAGTTTCAAAGATTTGAATTCTTGCCCCTATCATTCATTCAAAGGCTGAGCGACCAAAAAAAGTTATTTCTCCCAATCCTCATTTTATCTGTAAAATGGGAATACCTCCCTTAAAGTGTTAACAAGAAACTGAATTAAGATTAACACACTGACATGTTTGACTAAAAACTGCCAACAGTGTATCTATATTCCTCCTTCATGTAAAGTGTATGGAGATTCATATATTTAAAAACAAAGGTAACAAAAATCTTATTACTCAGTAACTACAAATATTTTACACGTAAACTCACAGGAGTGGCATCCACTTTCCAAACGACATGCCTCAGGAAACCCTATGAACTTTGAAAAACGACGATAGTTATAGAAAGGCTTCAGGTCTTGGTCATAGGGTCTCTATAGGCCATGATCGAATCGACGACAATCAACAACATGTAAGCTCAGGGGTCTACAGATAGGTTCCAGAGATGCCTGTGAAACATCAGATTCCGAACCACCAACTTTCAGGTGGGAGCTCAGCTACTGTGTCAATAGGACACGTCTCCAACTGTAAGCCTATTCCGAACACTGCCAGGAGACTGGGGGAAAGGTGTGGTGTACAGAGGTCGGAATCAATAGCTTTCACTAGCTTTCAGGGTTTGTTAATCAAGCAAGAGTACCTAAGCATGCACTGATGTGTGCCAGGAAAGACAACACTGAACACTAATTCCTGTTCTCAAGGAGCTCACAATCCTCGTGAACACGCTCTCCAACTTCAAAATAAGGATTCGTGGTTCAAGTCCACCAATTGCTCAGCAGGTCAAAGGATGAAATCCTCCCGAGGGATTTTACAGCCTAGGAAAACCCACCGGAGGATCGGTACACAAGGACCAGAAAAAAGGGCGTGCATTCTGCCCAATGCCACAGAGTCAACCAACTGGGAGAATGAAAGAGAAAGAACCCTTTTCCTGGCATCCATCCTCACTGAAACCTTTGGGAGAGTGTGATGGCCAAGCAAGAAGCGAGAAGGGCTCCCTCCACAAGGGCCCGCGTGAGAGCCAGCACAGGCATCCAGCTTTGGCAATGCTACCAGCAACCAGGGCGCAAGACAAAGGCCATCCACACTGGACTCCACCTTCTGCCGAAGCCGATGGGCATAGACCACCGCACCTAGCTACTCCCACTGGCAGCCCGGTTTTACCTGCTGCAACAGCAAAGCACACTACCTCCACCACCTCGAGGGCCAGCGTCGCCAAGAGAACGTCGCCGGAAGCCCGTCACCATCACCGGAAACGCAAATCAGTGAGCTTATGCACGAGACCGGCAGAGAGGGAATGGGGGCGAGGCGCATGCGCGCTACTGCTACGGTGCCGCAGTACGGCGTGGGCTTCCTTCTGGCTGTGTATGCGGCTTTTTGGCGCCTTTGAGGCTGCGGAGCCCCAAGCCGTGTGACAAGTCACAGCTCCACAGCACTTCGCCTGTGCCACCCAGTGCATAGACGATACAGTGCAACCTCCTACAAATCCTGGAGGTGGCACCAATGTAAAGCCATACAGGGGGTGTAGAAAAGGTTATAAATATCTTGCTTAAAATGCAACGCACATCATTTTTAGAGACATGAGTTGAGATCTGAAGGCAGATGGCGTAAGTCACACCTATACTACCATCACTATTTCTACCCAGTAACATTTTTCCTTAATATTTTCCTTTAGATTGTTTTAACATTAAGAAGTATCTTTTAAAAGGAAATTGTAAAAAAAAAATAATTAAAAAGGAAATTGTTAGAACCCGATGACAGCAACAAATTATGGTAGAAGAGAATCTAATAGTCTGTCAGAAGCAAAGCAAGAATGTTTATTGAGGAATAGAATTGGCCTAAACTGGACGGCATAAAAATAAAACCACCATGTGCTCTTGTGAGCAGTTAAAATACCAAATACAGAAACATTTGGGAACTACAAAGCCATTTTCTGATTGGCTGACATATTCAGAGCTTTGCGTAGTCGTGAGATTATTTAAAAACCACCAAAGTTTCTGTTGACAGACCATGATCATCCCCCAAATAACCTTTCCTGAGGCGTTTGATTGTTGACTGCATTCTTGCCCCCACCCTTACTTGCTTTGTTGTTAGGTACCATCCAGTAGACTCCTTAGCAACTGTGTGAATAATAAATAGGAATCTTGTTAAAACCCAGCAAACCCCACAATCTCCACCATATTCAAGTCCACTTTTAGTGTGTCTTTGTATATTCAACTCATTTGAGTGTCTTCCTCTCTTTCACTGATCCTCTGCTTTTCCCTGCTTGCTGTCCTGACAGCATGCCTTATTTATTGCTGTTGTAGTGCCATTGAGTTGACTAGGACTCAGAGCAATCCTATGAACAGTGGATCCATCTTCTTGGTGTAGGTATAGGTTTCGTATGAGCAGGGCTAAGTGTTTTAGAATTTCTATTTTTCTCAATGTTAACCATAATTTGCTGCGATCTACACAGTTAAATGCCTTTGCATAGTTAAAACAAAAATAAACGTTCTTCTGGTATTCTCTGTTTCCAGCCAATATCCTTCTGACATTAGCAGTGATATCCCTAATGCCACAGCCTCTTCTAAAACCAGTTTGAACTTCTGGGGGTTCTCTGTCAACGTACTGTTCTAACCATTTCTGCATTATCTTCAGCAATATTTTGCTTGCGTGTGATAATGATATTGTTCAATAATTTCCACATTCTGTTTGATAACCTGTCTTGTGAATTGGAATACATATGGATATTTACCAGTCAGCTGGATAGGACATTACATAATTTAAAATTAAGAAAGATATAATGTCAGGTTTATATCCTGTCTCTGTACTAGTCAATCTGTATTTGGAGGAAATTCTTCAAGAAGCTGGACTCTATTAAAAGAATATGGTATCAGGATCAGAGGAAGACTCCTCAATAACCTATGTTATACAGATGATATAACCATGCTGGCTGAACATGTTGAAGTGCTTGCTATAGAAGACTGAAGACAGCAGCCTTCAATATGGATTGCAACTTAATGTTAAGAAAACAAAAGTTTTCAGCATGGGACTGATAGACAACTTCATGACAGGTGAGAATGGTTTGAGGTTGTCAATGACTTCATCTTTCTTGGGTCCACAATGAACACCCATGGTACCAACAGTCATGAAATCAGGTGGTGTACTGCACTGGGCAAGTCTATAGTTAGGGACCTTTCCAAATTACTGAGGACCAATGATGGCAGTTTGAGGACTAAGGTATACCTGATTCAGCTCATGGTCTCTTCAGTCACTTGCTATGCATCTGAGAGCTGGACAGTGAATAAGGATGACACTAAGAATTTATCCTTTTGAGATGCGGTGTTCTAAAAGAGTGTTAGATATCCCATGGACTGCCAAAAGAACAAAGAAATATATCTTGGAGAGGGTGCAGTCAGAATATTCCTTGAAGGCAAAGATGACAAAGCTTCATCTCGCATACTTTGGGAATACTGCTAAGAGACACTAATACTTGGAAAGGGGTACTATGTTTGGAAAGGTGGAGAGTCAGTGAAAAGGAGGAAGACCCTCAACCAGAAGGACTGACACAGTAACTGTAGCAATTGGTTCAAGTGTGTCAGAGATTGTGAGGATGGCACAGGATAAGATGGGGTTCAGCTCTGTCAGTCATAGACTTACTATGAGTCGTATTCAACTTGACAGCACAACAAAAATGAGACCATAAAAGAAAAGCAGTACTACAGCATAGATGAACCATTAAAACAGTGAACTGAGGGAAGGAAGTCAGACGGAAAAGACCACATAATCATGTTGTTGTTGTTGTTGTTGTTGTTGTTATGTGCCGTCGAGTCGCCTGCGACTCATAGCGACCCTATGTACAACAGCCCTAAACTCCGCTCTGTCCTGTGCCAGTCGCACTGTCTCTGACACTCCCATCCCAATTATCCCAGTCACTGAATCAATCCACCTCATAGAGGGCCTTCCTCTCCTGCGCCGTCCCTCCACCCTCCCAAGCATGATGTCCCTCTCCAAGGACCGGTCTCTCCTCACTACATGTCCAAAGTAAGTTAGACGGAGCCTCAGAATCCTTGCCTCCAAGGCGCCACCTGGTTTAACCCTCTCCAGGACAAATCTATTTGTTTTCCTAGCAGTCCATGGTATTCTCAGTACTCTTCTCCAGCACCACAGCTCAAAGGCATCAGTTCTCCTTCTATCCTCCTTGGTCATTGTCCAACTCTCTGATGCATAACAGGTGATTGCGAAGACCATGGCCTGTATCAGACACACCTTAGTCTCCAGAGAGACACCACTGCTCTTCAGCACTTTGGAGAGGTCCCTAACAGCAGATTTTCCCATGGCAATGCGCCTTTTAATTTCCTGGCTGCTGGTGCCAAGACTGTTGACTATGGAGCCAAGCAAACTAAAGCTGTGTACAATCTCAATCTCTTCACCATCCATCCTGATGCTGCCGATTGGTCCAGTGGTGAGAATCTTTGTCTTCTTGACATTGAGCCTCAATCCATATTGTAGGCTGCAGTCCTTGACACTCTGCAGCAGGCACTTCAGGTCCTCCTCAGTTTCAGCAAGCAGGGTTGTGTCATACGCATAACTCAGATGGCTGATAAATCGTCCACCAATCCTGACCCCACATTTCTCCTCATAGAGCCCAGCCTCCCGGATAATCTGTTCTGCATACAGGTTGAAAAGGTATGGAGATAGGATGTATCCCTGGCATACGCCCTTCCCAATTTTGAACCATGCAGTGTTCCCTTGTTCTGATGACTGCCTCCTGGTCCAAGTATAAGTTTCGCATTAGAACGATCAAGTGTTCTGGGATTCCCATTCTTCTCAGAGTCAGCCACAGTTTGTTATGATCTACACAGTCAAATGCCTTTGCATAGTCAATGAAACACAGATAGACATTCCTCTGGTATTCCCTGCTTTCAGCCAAGATCCATCTAACATCAGCTACACTATCTCTAGTACCATGACCCCTTCTGAAACCCTGGACTTCTGGTAGTTCTCTGTTGATGTGCTGTTCCAGTCGTTTTTGGATAATCTTCAGTAAAATCTTGCTTGCATGTGAAATCAGTGAAATTGTTCTGTAGTTTCCACATTCGGTTGGGTCGCCTTTCTTTGGGATAGGAACAAATATCGATCTCTTCCAGTCAGTTGGCCAAGTGGTTGTTCTCCAGATTTCTTGGCACAACTTGGTGAGCACGTCCAGGGCAGCATCTGTTAACTGAAATATGTCAATTGGTATACCATCTATTCCTGGAGCCTTATTTTTGGCCATGTCCTTCAAAGCAGCCTGTACTTCTTCTTTCATCACCATAGGCTCTTGCTCATATGTTGTTTCATTAAATTCTTCTGTGTCTTCCAATTCCTTTCGATACAGTGACTCAGTATATCACATAATCATATGATTTTATTTATTTGGAATAATTCTGAACAGATGAATCCAGAAATTTGAGTATTGTTTGCTACTGAGTGCAGGAAGTATGGAGTTGGTTTTTGTTGTTAGATGCTAATAAGGTGACTATGACTAGGTGATCCTAGGAACTGCAGAGCTGCAATTTACCCTAACCTGCTCCATCCTCATGATCTCTGATATGTTCTAGCACATTTTTGCAGTCACTATGTCAACCCATCTCTTTATGTCTTTAATGGAATGGTGTCTTTCTCCAAGGACTGGCCCCCTCCTGACAATATGCCTAAAATATATGAGACCAAGTTTGATCATTGTTTCCTCTAAGGACATCCTGTTTGTTGCTCCAAGACAGACTTCTTTGTTGTTTAGGCTGTCAATAGAATATCCAGTATGGTTCTCCAACACCACAACTCCAAGGCATCAGTTCTTCTTCTGTCATCCTTTTTCACTGCCCAATTTTCAGTTGCATAGAAAGCAGCTG